GATGAGTGGCAGTTGTGGAACTGATAAGATCAGTGCCACTTACTTGCAGAACACTTGCTCAGTCTCAGTGTATCTCCAGCTTCCTACCTTCACGTGTCTGCAGTGATGCATATCTCCACGGAGAGTTCCTCCCCTTCACTCTACTGCCCAGTGCCTGGGTCAGCTAACTTTCAACTGGGAACAACAGCAACTCAGCCATGAAGTGATAGGCCATGTAAAATGACAGAGCGGGGTCAGAGCATGCTGAAGCGCACAGTGCGCAGAAGTCGCCAATTGTCTGTAGAGTCAATAGCTAAAGACCTGCAAACTTCCTGTGGCCTTTAGATTTGCACAACAACAGTGCATAGAGAGCTTCATGGAATGGGTTTCCATAGCTGAGCAGCTGCACCCAAGCCTTACATCACCAAGTGCAATGCAAAGTTTCGGATGCAATGGTGTAAATTACGCCGCCACTGGACTCTAGAGCAGAGGAGACATGTTCTCTGGAGTGACAAATCACACTTCTCTATCTGGGAATCCGATGGACATGTCTGGGTTTGGCGGTTGCCAGGAGAACGGTACTTACCTGACTGCATTGTGCTAAGTGTAAAGTTTGGTTCCTCCCCTGCACTCTACTGCCCAGGCCTGGGTCAGCTAACTTTCAACTGAGAACAACAGAAACTCAGCCATGAAGTGATAGGGCAATGTAAAATGACAGAGCGGGGTTCAGAGCATGCTGAAGCACACAGTGCACAGAAGTCGCCAATTGTCTGTAGAGTCAATAGCTAAAGACCTCCAAACTTCCTGCAGCACTTAGATTTGCACAACAACAGTGCATAGAGAGCTTCATGGAATGGGTTTCTATGGCTGAGCAGCTGCATCCAAGCCTTACATCACCAAGTGCAATGCAAAGCTTCGGATGCAGTGGTGTAAATTACGCCGCCACTGGACTCTAGAGCACATGGAGACATGTTCTCTGGAGTGACAAATCACACTTCTCTGACTGGAAATCCGATGGACATGTCTGGGTTTGGCGGTTGCCAGGAGAACGGTACTTACCTGACTGCATTGTGCTAAGTGTAAAGTTTGGTGGAGGGGGGATTATGGTGTGGGGTTGTTTTTCAGGGTTTGAGCTTGGCTCCTTAGTTCCAATGAAGGGAACTCTTAAGGCGTCAGCATACCAAGACATTTTGGACAATTTCATGCTCCCAACTTTGTGGGAAGAGTTTAGGGATGGCCCCTTTCCTGTTCGAACATGACTGCGCACCAGTGCACAAAGCAAGGACCACAAAGACATGGATGAGCGAGTCTGGGGCAAAGGAACTTGACTGGCCCACACAGAGTCCTGACCACAACCTGATAGAACATCTTTGGGATGAATTAGAGCAGAGACTGCGAGCCAGGCCTTCTTGTCCGACATCAGTGCCTGACCTCACAAATGTGCTTCTGGAAGAATAGTCAAACATTCCCATAGACACACTCCTAAACCTTGTGGCCAGGTTATAGTTGCAAAGGGTGGGTCAATATTGAACCCTGCGGACTCATTAAAGTTGAAAGGCAGGTGTCCCAATGCTTTTGGCATATAGTGTAAATTTTATATATATATATATATATAAATATATATATACTCATAGTAAATTTTGCAGACACACTACCTCAGGCATTGTCTTCCACATGCAAAAATTCAGGAGAGATTTAAAGAAATGCAGAGCAAAAACTTGTTTGCTGCTGTTAACGCTGTCTCTTCTGTAGCATAGGGATTGATATATCAGACATTGTTGGTTGACGAGTAAGCAAGTATTATCAACAAAAGAATTAGAATCTGAAGCAGACATCTTGATACTTGTGTTATAGCACAGGTCAACCAATGTAGTACAAAGTAGATAAGAGACATTCTAAAATGACACAACATTTTAAAGACACCTAGTCCCTATGCATAAAAAAGAAACAAATGACAGCCAAAGGAAAAACCCTCTACAGGGGGCCATATTATATAGTCAAGACAATGCTTCCTATTTTCATTCATTTTAGAGACAAAAGAAAGCTGAAACAAGTTTCCCAAACCTAACAAACTGTATCCACTTAATGAACTGCTAAGACAATGGGCCTCTGAGTTTTTATTGCCTTAGTAAGGGGGGCCTCTGTAATGGTTAGCTGGAAATCAGTGGCAATCATTATTTCAGCCTGAAGAGGACACCATATTATTGTTGTAAGTAAAAACACTTTAGTATTGTACTGATATATACTGTGCATAAGTTTTAAAGAGAGTGTAGTATGGCTTGCAACTTGGTTGCACCTTGAATGCAGTTTCTTTAAGTATATGCATTTTCTTTTAAGTATACTTGGCTCAGTTCATTTCTTTTTTTTATGTATTTTGAATAATTGTATAACTATACAATATACATACTGTACTTCCCAACAGTTTAAGATTTTGTGGGTCTCTCCCAGGATTTAAGGTAGTTGTAAACCTCAGACATGAAATATGAACAAAGCATACCCCTCTATAGTGTGTACTTATCTAAATTAAGAGCACTAAATGTCACTTCTGTCTGCTTACCCATTCCTCTGCTATCAGCATGAGTCATCCTAACAGGTTTTCCTGACACCAAGAGAAAAAATGGTGACAGGGGAGGAACCTCTAGTACTTTGACAGCCTCAACTCTGTCCCTGTGTGCTGTGTGGAGGGGGGGTCTCTTCCCTCCACTCAGCTCTCAGAGCTCTCCTCCCTGAGCTCTGCAGTGTGTAATTCCAGCTCTGCCCTCTTTCTTTTGAACTCTCAGAAAGCTGTATCAATTCTGCACTTTGAGCGGATGTAGAGAGGAGAAGACTGCAAATAAACAGGTACAACTTATGTAGGAGGATTTGTTTCATCTCTGTGTATCACCAGTCACCTCACTGGATATATATATAAGGGTTAACAACCACTTTAAACAAAATCCTGGTGTCTTGCAGTTCTGGGCTGTGTCTTGTTGCTGCCTGGATGTCCCCATGGTTCAGGGGTTTAAGCATTACACAGCCTGATTGCAAACAGTTGATGACATTGCCCAACATCCTGTCATGTATGAGCTCCAAAAATGACTTTCTACATTGGGTCCTTGAGTCTACATTTCTTCTTTACAACCTATCCCACACTGCCATTCATAGTAAATACTATGATTGGCAGGGCATCTATGAGTCAGGTGGAAGTACAGCAGTGAAGTACAGCAGTCAGCACCTGGCAAACAACCAAATAGTGGTTGTTGATTTCATTAATCCATTCAGCTGGCTTTAAACCACAGTCTACTTCTACCTCTTCTAGACCTACCTAGACCAGGACTTCAACATCTTGGAGTTCAGTGAGGGTACTCGACACGTGAAACACTGATCATCCTTCTTCAGACTTATACTTTTTTTGCCCATCCTAACATCACCAAGCACCAGTGCTTCCCATCTCCCCACATAGTACTAGTGCCCCTCTTCTCCCACCACAGACCACAAGTGCCTCCTTTCCTTTACACAAGGTCCAGTGACCACCTTCACCCCCACAGAATAACAGTGCATCGCCATCCTTTCTTGGAGTACCAGTGACCCCTTAACCCCGAGAGCACCAATGTCCCACCTCTCTGTCAACAGGGCTCTGATGCACTCTCTCTACCTCTACAGAGTACAAATGCCCTCCTTCTTCACCCACTGAGCATCAGTGCCCCCTCTTCCCCCACAAAGCACCAGTGACCATCTTTCCCCCCACTGGGAGATTTTTTTCCCCGTTGATCATTGACACTAAGCACATATATTTCTCCCAATGGATACCAACTTTGGACATTTTTCCTCCCATCAACCACCAATGTTAATCATTTTCCCTCCCACTTACCACCAGCACTAGCATTTTTTTTACCTTCTGTTGACTGCAGATTCCCAGTATTTTTCCTCCCTCTGACCACCAACACTGGGGGATTTTTCCTCTCCCCCCTCACCAGATCATTAATGCAATAGCGCCCCCTAGTCAATAATTCAATAATGATAGGCATCTTTTTTTTCTCCATTGACCTCAGGTTGATCACAGACACCAGTCATCCTTTTCTTCTGCTGACCAACAATATAAGGGGGTGCTATGAAACCTACTGCTGACAATTTCACTGCTTACATTGCTTTGCACATAACAAAATGTTTGCTGATGAACATTACACCCTCCTGACCAAATGTCTCAACAGTTGCTGGCTGCTAAGCAATTTTCAATTTTTTTAATGAAGGTCTTCTTTATAGTATGCTCAATGAAAGTGTTAGCTTTTTGTCCATAGGCTCTTTTATTTTTTTTAAAACGAATCATTCAGGTTTCTGTGTGAATGTGGAACTCTAACTTGTGGGACAGTATTCAAGGAATATTTTTTGGGTGTAAGGCCTGCAACATACAGTATGTGTGCAGTGTGTATTGAGTGTAGGCCTTGACTATATTTAACCATGTTTCTTGAGGCAATGCCCAATGTCCAGTGCAATTTAATCATCCCCACTTTTCCCTTCTAAGGTATCCTTCTTTCTCAGGTTCTAATGTTGGTAGGAATGCATTAACCTCCCTAGCAGTCTGAATATGTCAGTATTTCTGTGCTCAAAGCGGTACATTTTCTTGCATGGAAATATGTTGTTTTTTTATTGTAGGCCTGTAATTTTTAGGAATAACTCACTGAAATCTGTCCGAACAAGAGTATAGTAAACATCCCGGGTATGTTAAAATTTGAAACACGAAATCATAAATTATAATTTAATAAATAATCATAAAAAATAAAAATATAATAATAATAAATTTAATTCAATAATATAATCAAACCAAAAACACTGAAATTTGAAATATAGCTCCAAGTTCGCACATCACTGAGGTTAGTCGCAAAATCGTTTTCAGTGTCTGATGACGAATTTCCCCATGAATCATTATCACTCAATTCTGCATGTAGTTCTAATTTACTATCGCTGTTCTCTAGCTGGTCTAAAACCGCTTTTGACCTAAAGGGACGCTTTTTGGGAGCCATGGACAAAGCACTAAGGACAAAATGTATGTGAAATGGTTTGATACAGTAATGTTATACTATGTGATTTTAGTGTATTTAGTGAATATCACTTTTTGACATTTTTAAATTTCCCACCAGTTCCGTCCCCGTACGTCCTGACGTCGCAGGGAACGGAACCCGGAAGACAAATGCCGGCATCAGCCGGAGGACATTGCCAGGAACGCTGCAGGGGGGACATCGCGGGAGCACAGAACAAGGTAAGTGATCGAGGGATCCCGGAGCAACGCTGCAGGGTATTCCCGAGTGTAGCTCAGGGTTACCGCTTGTGGTGCTGAAACTTTACCCCGAGCTACACTCGGGAATACCGCCAGGGAGGTTAAGCTACCTTAGGCATCAGAGAACAGTCAAACATACAAGTATGATTGAATTACCTCTAGATGTAGTGGCAGGAGTCTGAAGTATAAACACAAATGCCCAGGTAACTCATGGGTTGATGTGAATTAAATGGCAGGAAAATGAGAGGGAGAAGAAGTCAGGATCAGATACAGCCAACTCCAGGTAAAATGTTATTGCCCAGATAATATGCAATCACTAGTTCTTCAACAGCTGTAGGTTTCTGTTTATTCCCTATGGTAATGTGATGTGATTGTCATAAAATATTTGGGTTACAGTCCCTGATGTTCATACACAGCAGATTCAGCACTTGCATGATAAATCAAATGTTTTTGTTTTAGTGCCATACACAAATTCATTGGACACTAAGGGGAACATTTGCTAAAACTGGAGAACTCAGAATCTGGTGCAGCTGTGCATGGTAGCCAATCAACTTCTAACTTCAGCTTGTTCAATTAAGCTGTGGCAATATAACCTAGAAGCTGATTGGTTTCTATGCAGAGCTGCACTGGATGTGGCCCCCTAAAAGCTTCTGTTATGATAAACCACAGTTATGAATGAAAGTGCAAGATGTCCCATGTAACATATACAGTATAAAATAATGGTGGCTATAAGGTGGCCAAAAATGTCTCAATTGCTCTCTGATCTGACAGCCTGGTGAAATGAGTGGGAAAGGACTGGGCAATTTTAGGCACTCCTAGGGGTCAACAACAAGTGCTTCCAATATGGGAAGCAATCATTTTATCTTGTTGAGATTTTAAACCTTTATGCTACTTGATTAGTCCACCCCTCTTTTATCAAAGTGTTACTAAACCCAGGACCCTGCATTCCCTGTATCTGGTCTCCCACAGTACACAGAACATGGAAATGCAATTATGGTAGTAAATATAAACTGCTAAATATCTTTTCTCATCAGCAGTAAGAGCAGTCTTGTGACTTCTATCTGTGTCCATCCAACCACTGGTTAAAGCTTGTAGGAGGATGTTTAATTTTGCTCTAGGAGGATGCAGAACCCCTGACCTCTGTCTGGACTGTGCTTATTCACTCTGTGCTGATCACATGCACCCTCCCAAAGAAAAAATAACCTCTCTAGCAATATACACCAAACTGAGCATGTGTAAAGAGACTCCATACATATGTCTTATCAGGAGATAAGAGGGTGGCACTGGAAGAAGGGGAGGATCAGAGAAGTCAAGATGAAACAGAAATTTTTACACAATGCAGATGATTCTCAGTGAGTATAACAAGCATGCTTTACTGCATATACAGACTGTTTTTACTGTTGTGGGCTTAGTAACACTTTAAGGAGAGTATAGAAATATGGTAGCCTCCTGTCAGCTGAATATTTGACAGAAAAGACAGCAGAAGTAATAAGGATACATTCACAAATCAAACACAGGAAAATAAGGATTTTTGTTTTAAAAAGAGTAAAAATTACAGTCACAATGCAAAAATTTGTGAATTGAGCCTATAGTGTTCAAAATTAGATGTAACTCTAGGCCACAGGTGTCAAACACAAGGTCCGCGGGCCGAATCCGGCCCTCCAGGCCATTTCATGTGGCCCTTGCACCTCTCCTGTAGGTACCCCCTTGTCTCTGACCCCACCTTGTCTCAGCAGTCAGCAGCAGAGAAGAGAATAGAACTCCTTTGCCAAATCCTGCACCTCTCATTGCAGCAGCAGCACCCTCTCATTTCGTCTCAGCATTCAGCAGACTCTGGTAACTGACTCTATTCCTCCTCCAGACCCTGTACTTTCTCCTTTCCAGTTCTGCCCCCAAAGGGGTGTGTGGGATTCTTGACATCTGATGTAGTGGGGGGTGGGGTGCTCTGGGCATCTAGTCTTACAGGTACAACTGGCTCTAGGCCCATCGTTCTCATGGAAATATCTGCCCATAAATAGTTAAATAATATCATCCTCCATATAAAACTTTTTAGTGCTATTAAGGTAATCAGTTCACTCAGAGTTGGATTGAACAAAACATTTTTTTATCACACATAAAAAGTGGGTATTATTTACAGTGCATCCAGAAAGTATTCACAGCGCTTAACTTTTGCCACATTTTGTTATGTTACAGACTTATTCCAAAATGGATTAACCACTTGCCCTCCAGAGGATTTATTCCCGTTCCTGACCAGGTCATTTTTTGCTGTTCCGCGCTGCAATATTTCAACTGGTAATTGCACGGTCGTGTAATGCTGCACCCAAGAAAAATGTATGTCCTTTTTTCCACACAAATAGAGCGTTTTTTTTATGATATTTGATCACCTCTGCAGTTTTTTTACGCTATAAACAAAATAAAAACCGCAAATTTTGAAAAGAAACTATATTTTTCACTTTTGGTTATAAAAAATATCCAATAAACTCAAAGTTAGTCATTTAGGCTAAAATGTATTCTGCTACAGGTCTTTGGTAAAAAAAAAAAAATCTCAATACATGTATATGAATTGATTTGTGTGAAAGTTATAGCGTCGACAAACTATGGTATAGATAATGGAATTTACACAGCTTTTACTTTCTGACTGCCTATCACATTTCTTCAGGTGCTAAAATGCCAGGCAGTACAAAACCCCCCAAATGAACCCTTTTTGGAAAGTAGGCACCCCAATGATTTTGCTGAGATGCATGTTGAGTCCATGGAACATTTTATTTTTTGAAACAAATGTTTTGAATATGACAATTTTTTTTTTTAACATAGTTGTCACTTTAATGATATATTGCCCATGCATGCCATGGGTATATGTGAAATAACACCCCAAAACAAATTCTCCTACTTCTTCAGAGTATGGGGATACCACATGTGAAAGACTTTTTGGCAGGCTAACTACATGCAGGCCCCCAAAATCCAATGACCACCTCCAGGCTTTCAAAGGGCATACTTCCTCATATCACTTCCCCACTACCTATCAACGTTTCGGAGGCTCTAAAATGCCAGGCTAGTACAAACACCCCCCCCCCCCAAATGACCCCTTTTTGGAAAGTAGACACCCCAAGGAATTTGATAAGAGGCAAGGTGAGTATTTTACAGAAATCATTTTTTGTTTTCTTTCTTCGTTTTCCCAAAACACGTAGCAGCAAATGAGATTTGCAAAACACTCACCATGCCTCTTAGCAAATACCTTGGAGTGTCTACTTTCCAAAAAAGGGGTCATTTGGAGGGGTTGCTTCTACTATCCTGGCATTTCAGGGCCAACATTAGAAGCTTATGCCACACGTCACCCACTCTTCAAGACCAAGCCTTTTATGACACTTTTTGTTCACATGAAAAAATTTTTTTTTTTGCTAGAAAATTACTTTGAACCCCAAAACATTATATATATTTTTAAAGCAGAGGCCTTAGAGAATAAAATGGTGGGTATTTAAATTTTGTACGTCACACAGTATTTGCGTAGTGATTTTTCAAACGCAAATCTTTTGTGAAAAATATTTTTTAGAATTGTAATGCACAAAAACACATTATATTGGCCAAAAACTAGTAATATAAGTGGTATATATGTGAGCGCTCTAAAAATGGATAACAGCTGCTATGCACAAGGTAACCAAATAAAACCCTTAAATAAGCAATATAAATAATAATGTGCAGCGCTAAAAATATATTAAAAAGTAAAAGGAGTATAAAGCAGTATCATAAATATTCATAAAAATGATTCTCATAAGTAAATTCATGCGATATATAAAAACACTCAAAAAGTTCTTAAAGTGATATTCAGTGCTCAAATATCCTGTGCAATTTTGAAAACGGTGCTTGTGCATTCAGGTGTGGAAGAAATGCGCACTCACCGGAACGTACAAATTAATGTGCGTTTTGTAATAAATCCTGATGTCATCTAATGGTCATCTCAGAACAGGCCAGGAACAGAGTAAACTCCCTCTTATGGTGGATCCTCGGACTCTAAGGTGAAATCAGGGCTTCCAGAGTTCCCCTTAGGGGATAGATGGGTGCAGCTCACTGGGTGTAATAGAGGCTCCCTCTCTGGAGACTGGGTGGTGGATGGCTGTAAATTAATACTCCACAAGGGAGTCAAGGCAAAGACAAACCCATAGTGTAGTAATTTTGGAACATTTATTGCGATTAAAAGCAAAGGTATCCAGGTAATGACATATGGGTCAGCAAGTAAAAACACATGGACTTACCGTCCCGAATTAAATATGGCCGCCTGAGCTCCACGTTGCTCCGGCTGTGTGACGTCACGATGTTACTGGCTCCTCCTTACGCATTTTGTGCACCCGCACATAATCTGAGGGGAATCGCCAATAACGCCAAGCCGTGCGCTGTCAGTATATATAGACGATGGCGCATGCGCATTAACATGCACCATCTTTGAGAAGACTGAACTTAATGTGCACGCGCAGCTAAGCGGGCCCCATTTTTCCTTAGGTATTTTACATGTTACAAGATAGAGTGACAACTCCAAGTGTCAGCACTTAGATATTAAGAATTAGTTGAGAGTATGATCCAAATAAGTAAGTTTTTAATTGACTGGTGGATCAAAATCAAAATTCATAAACAAGTGTAAAACAATTGAGCATTCTAGTTTGAGGCACATACTGAGGGAAAATACGAAGTTAAAGTCTCAAGTATATAAAATAGAAGCATGCAATCTAAAACATTATATTTAACGACAGCGTATGCTATGATCATTATGAATTATATATGAACAGTATACAGCAATTAAATACATATAATTATAAAATGTAATATAGATATAATAAAATAAAAATAAATACAATCTTTTTGAGAAATCCTTCGTGGCAAAACGTGATTAAATTATACTATTATAAAAAGGGGGAGATTAATATTTTACAAAGACTGTAAAAGATATATATAAAATATATATGAGTGTGAATATGTAAAGTAAGATGGGGAAGAGATTAAAACGATCTATACCCATAATATGTCTTAGTATTATCTATAGACTAGAATAAGACAAAATCGTTTCTAGTTATGCTTGTGAGGAATGTGACATTAATAAAAAGGTGAATAAATAACAAT